CGTCTGCCCGGGAGGCCGGTCAAAATGTTTACGCTGTGTTGGCATTTAGGTCCTCGAAGCTTTACGGTTTAGGGGTTCAGGCTCCAGGCCGGAAAAACCCTGAGACCCCCGGCCTACTATGACAGCACGATTGCCTGCGATTGCATAGGGTCATTCTATGCTTGTTTCTATCTAGTGAAAACCTTGATACTGCTCCGCATCGCGACACACAAACGTGTTCCAATAGGTTACTGCTATATTGCTATATCCCACGGTATGCTTGGGACAACCCCCAAATCCTAAACCCAATAAACCTAAACCCAAAACCGCAAGCCCAAAGCTGTTGCAGCCTGTTGCAAGGGATTCCCTCGCTGTTGGACTCCACCGGGCCCTCCTCACAGAGGCGCAAAGATGGCTTGGGCTCTGTAGGGCCACGAAAAAGGAAGTTCAGGGGATTGCTTTGGGGTTTAGGGTTTACGGCTTGTTTTAGGTTTAGGGTTTAGGGTCTAGGGCTTGAGATTCAAGAATTTGAAGTCATAGGTGTAGGCCTCGTGTTCTGGCTGCCTGAGGCAGCGCTGGGGCCTGAGCCACCTCAAGTCAAACGTCCGTAGGATTCTGAAATCCGAACGAACCCTGAAAGACGAACCCTTGAACCTAAAGCCGAAAACCCTCCCACACCTCAAACTTACAAGTTACAAACCAGCACCCATCGTGAAAAAGCTTTGGAGACAAATCCCTAAACTTGTCTGAAGCAGGGGCGGAGGAGGAGCATGTTGAGTGCCGGATCCTCTGTGCCATTATGCTGCAGGGCTGCACCAAAGACCTGACCCGCACCGGAGTCTGATGCAGACACGTAGGTGCGAATGTGTATGTCTCCATATACATATACGTAGAGGGGGATAGCTATCTATACATGTATGTAAACATATGTATATACATAAAACACACACATATATATATATATATACACTACCTGAATACGTGCACATGCCGACATACATGGTGTGTGTATGTGAAAATACAAAGTCTAGACATATTGGGATAGTTGTTGATTGATCATGCATGCGGATGCGCTTGATGCTATGTATATGTCTGCATGCATGTCTGCTTGTGTGCGCATGCCTGCATGTAGAGATGCATATAGGCTGGCTAGTGTGTCTGCAAATGTATGTATGCCAATGTATGCATGCAATGCATGAACATATGCATGCCCGTCAACTGCACGTATGTCTGCCTGTGACATGTCTACTTATCTATTTATCTATCTATCTATCTATCTATCTATCTATCTATATTGAGAGTGTAGGTGCGTATGTATACTACCTGCATACACGCGCCCACACACGCACATGCATCTATTCATGCAGGCGTTTGTAAATACTTTCGCCTGCTAGCATATATCCGTCCCTCTCAACCGATATCAATAGACACTAGGAAAGGAAACAGGAGCCTACTGTATTCCTTTGGGATATACAGTACCTATGCACTTGGGTGGCATAACAACCTCGACCTGACCGGCGGCTAATTCTAGCAGTTGCTACAAGTAGTGCTGACATCTCTCTCCCCAGTCTCAGCACCCAGACCGAGTCTGCCTTCCGTAGCATCCGAACCTCACGACTTCATAGCCCTACGCTCCAATCCCCAAAGCCTGAACCACGAATTCATTAACGTCGGGCCGCCTGTGGCTTTGGTGCCTGCACCGCCGGCATTCCTTCGTCCTGGGCACGGCCCACAACCGAAGTCTGGGTCTAAGATGCTCGAAAAGAGGGATATTATAGTGTATGTCTGTAGGGGCTATACGGGGATACTGCTTGTAATTCTTCCGACCCGCAACTTGAAACCCTGGGATGTCGCAGGCCTTCTGGCAGAGATCCGCAAGGCGCGACGTCAGGAGAGTGGGCCTTGGCAGGTCTCCGGTCCACATCACCGGAAGGACCAGACACACGACACACACACACACACATGTGTGTGTGTGTGTGTGTGTGTACGCGTGTATATATATATATATGTACATACATACATACATACATACATACATACATACATACATACATACATACATACATATACATATATACACATGTCTCATTTAGCAAGTATTGCAGTATGTGCATTATGCATTTTCTGTGCTGTGTATTCAAAGCTTTGGGTTACACAGTATATTTTAGGATTCAAAATTATGTTTCGGGGTATGTTTTGCATGCTACGTATGTATGCGCGCAAATATATTCTACACTAATTCTACACAGTACGTATTACATGTTGTATGATAACAAATAAGCAACTATATACGTACACACATATATATATATACACACGTGTAGACTATTCTCATACCTTATGCACTTCACGATTTCATGTACTATGCTATATGTTGCACTACATTTCGACATGTAGCGTTATACTGCGGACTATGTTGCAATGTATATACTCTATCTAATCTTGTATACTGTGCTTGTCTCGACTAGAACCTGATCGTGTAGCCTCCCATAACAAATATCTTTTAGACCTGGTTCAATTACATCATCATTACCGCTATTGTACCGTGTATGTGCATACATTCTTAACTGCACTAAATCATATCATAATTTGTCTTACATAATGTTATATACTGCATTAAACTAGCAAGTATAGTATATCAGACTTCACTTAACTTTAGGTTCTTGACTCTGCCATATTATATACTGTCTTATGATATATACATTTTTAGACTCTACTCTACCACACCTTGCTATACCTCCTATACCACATAATACTATACTGTTTTCTTACACCTTACACATTAGAACAATATATTATGTTGATATTTTGCTTATCTTGTCAAGTCTTGTCTTATAGTATCGTATATGTGTTAGACTACCCCATAATATATGATATCAGACTAGGTTATGCTTCAGTCTACTTTATGACGTTATGGTAGCACTGTATAATGTAACAACTCTGCTGCGTTTCACTGAAGGCCTGACCGGGGCGAATCTTCTGCGTGCAGTCCTGCGCAAAAGCGTAGCAGCTGTGTCTTGCCAGATTTAAGACAAATATATATATATATATATACATGTGTATATGTATATATATCTACATGTATAAAATCACGCTGGATATCATCCCGGGCCTTCCACTGGCATGTCTTCTGGCATCTGGCCAGCTTTGCTAGGCAGCGCCATGCAGCGGCAGGATTCAAAAGCACAGCAGGCGAACGAGCTCCGGAATTTGTACAGGCTCCTCTTGCTACGTCTCCTGGCGCTGTGCCCCCACTACTGGTGACTGCGGCGGACAAGATAACAGAAGTCAGAAACCCTCGGCTCACAGACCATCTATCTTCGAAGCAACACAGGGGGCTGCACTGCTGCCAGCACCGCCACCATCACCGACAGCAAGCACAACACCCTCCCACCATGGACGACGACGACGATGACCACAACGCTTCTGTGCAATTATCAGCGACATCATCATCACCATCATCAATAAGAACATCATCATCATGATCATATGATCAACGGTATCATCACCGCCACTGAAGCCATCATCACCATCACCAGCATCATCACAACGATCAACAACAGTGATAATAACAACAAAGCTGTATGTTATGCTGCTTGTTATGGCCCGATATTATGACAATCATCACCATCGTGATCATCATCACCATCGCCGGCATTGTGGCCATGAACAGGATCATCATCAGCAGCAGCAGCTCAGCCCACCATCTCTACTGGTACCATGATCGTCAGGATCGAGCTGGTCAGGAGTGTTACGGTCCATACAAGAAGCATTGACGTCCGGCTCCAGCGAGCACTGCAACGTCGTCTGCGCTATCGTCTTCAGACCGCCATCGTACCATCAGCATCATCATAATCGCCGTCATCATCATCACCATCATCATCACCAGCATTCTCTGAGTCTTTCCTCTTCGCCTGCACCACCCTTGCCTTGATGAGATAAACAACATCGCCAATGCCATCATGACGAGCATCACTCTCAGTACCTGTCACCATCGCCATCGTACTCATTGTCACTACCAACATCGTCAGCCTCACACGATGTTATGTTGTGTTTCCATCGCCATCATTGGCATGGGCTCCGTCATCCAAAAACACACTTTCGGTCTGTGGCTGCAAATGGTTGCAATGAACTGTCGCCGTCGTCGTTGTCGTTGTCGCTGTCGTAGTTGTCGTCATGGTCGTGGTCGCAGTGATCATCGTCGTCGTCGTCGTCGTGCTTGTCAGTGCTGACGTTGGTGGTGGTGATGCTGTCATCGGTGGTCCTGCTGCTGCTCCTCCGCTGCTGCGGCTGCTGGAACGGGACCAGGGCTCAAGACGACTTTCCTAGCCAGTTCATAGCCTCAAGCCACGACCTTTTGCTCCCGCCCGGATCTAGCACATGGAGTCTGGTGCCTCCAAACAGATCCCACAAGTGCGTCGCCATGAGGGCAGGCACATTCCAGCCAAGGGCTGGCTCTGAGAATTTGAGGAGTCAGGATTCCCTCGACCGCGGCTGCTGGAAAGGTATGCTAAGGTTCCTACGCCTTGCAACTTTGTGCCGTGCTTGGTTCTGCCGTGTCGCAAGCGGTTTTAGGAGCTGAGCCCTCTCGAAGTATTCTGATAGCACAGCTAGCAATAGCAGTAGCGGTGGTAGGAGGCGTAGGAGTAGCAGTAAAAGGAGGAAGTGGTAGCAGTAGCGGTCGTGGCAGAAGACGATGAGGGCTCACTCAGTCGGCGCGGGCAGATGTCCAAGAAGCTGTGCGCAAGGAGTCGACGGACGCCTGACCAAATCCCTCCCAAACGCAAGTGAAGATTTGATTCCTTTCTTCTCTGCAGCCCAAAACTAGTTGGGTCTACTCGCGACTATTGAACGGCATCAATCCCCACATCACCTGCCTGCTGCGATGCTACCCAGACCCAGACCCGACAAAGTCCTTCACCCATCTTCACCCCAAGGGAAAAACCGGAGACGAGCCCGAGCCCACCTGGAAGTCTTTGCTCTCCGGCCGCCTTCACCATCGGGCCCTCAGCGTCGTGTCCTCACTGCCAGACGTCCTGGTGTGCACTCCGGCCGGTCCAGGTTTATGGTCTGTGAATTTGGGGGCGTGCTGAAGGCATCTTGCCTGGGCCACTGCATCACGGAGTAGTCAGGTGATACCAGTAGTGTGGCCATGATGAGCCATGCGCCTGGACTTTAACCCTCTGAGTCATTCGGAGTCCTTGTACAGCATGATCTCCCAGTCATCGTTTTGGCACGAGGTGCTCGCGGGCACTGTGGGCGGTTCCACACAAGGTCGGAACCCTGCAGCACCTGTCCAAGAATCCGAGGTGCCAGATGTCTGGAAAAACCCGAAATTTGCCAGAGGCCGTTATGCTTCCAGACAGCACTCAAGTCACAAGGGCACCCATCTTGTTCAGCGCCGTGATGGGGTCGCGCGCCAAGCAGGCATCGTAGAGTTCGTACTGCACATGTGGCAGGTTCCTGCGACACGACACGGAGTTTCGGCACTGGGTCTTGTGGACCAAGGCCGTGAGCGGGGTCAAACCGACATCGTGTCTAAGCCCGAGCCTCGGGGAGGATACGATCCAGTCGCCACTGTACTCTTGGCCGTAGCGTAGGCGCGCATAAACTGCGGAGGGAAGCAGAAGTGGCTCGGAGATCTTGGGTGCCGGGCTTTTGGAAATGCTAGGCCGTCTGCCCAGCCTCGATGGCTCCGGCTGTTCACCGAGAAGTCTGCTGCTTCCGCCTTTGCCTGCACGTTTCAGGCCGAATACCCCGAAGACAGGATCCTGAACTTTTCGTAAGCCCGGGGTTGCTTTTGAATCGCCCCTTCTCTCTCCGCCGGTCACCCAATGGTACTAGTAGGATAAAGCTCCGGAGCAAAGAGACCACTCGAAATTGAGGCTTCGACCAGGTCATGGCAGAGGCCTCGAAGCCAAAGGCCTGTGCCACCTCCCGTCCTCGGAAAAGACGAACTCAGCAGCCACTTGAGGAAAGCTCGAGAACCCCGAGTTGTTGGGAAAATGAGCCGCTGTTGTGGCTGAAGAACTTGACAAACTAGACATCAAATAAACGACACCCGAAGGCCTTAACCGAAATCCTGCAGCCCAAACCCTGATATCCTTAAAGACCGAGGAAAACCGCCAAGCAAAGGGGCCCAAACCTGAAGAAGTGAATCGAAAGCCAGCGCTGAGGTCCACTAATCCCACGGAAGACGAGTCTGGGGGCCTGGGGTGCAGCACAACAGGAAATGCAAACAGCGAAGAGGATCCACCAGAGAGGCACTGGAAGTGCCCAGAGGAAACCCCGAGCCGAAAGGAAAGCTGGGGAAACTCCGTCTGAGGTGATCGCATCATTGCCGCCTGCACTGTGGGCCTCAACAAGGATCGGATCGGGAGGGCACCAAATCAAGGGGCTCACACTTCAAGGATGGCTTCAGGTGGGCAAAACGAGACGCACACGCTGCACATGTCCAACGTACATCTGGCACCTGAAGCGCTTGCATCTGAAACGGAAACTACACGTCATGCATCTTTGGGGCATCCAGAGGGCTTGCCACCGCCAGCACGATCAAAAGCATCAGCATTATGCACCAACGCCGCCACCACCACCACCACCACCACCACCACCACCCTAACCCTAACCCTATCATGTCTACTCCTGCTGTGTTTGCGATGGTACATGTTGCACTGCTGCTCCTCGTGCTCTCACATCCTTTGCGACCAGAACAATACGCAGCTTCTTTTTCAGGTCCAATGTTGAGGGGCGAAGCTTTGAAACGCTCCTTCAAAAGATGCATTTCTCCATCTGCAACCAATCGATCTTCTCGTGGCTGCATGATGCTGCTGGGGCCGTCCCCACATGAACAAGGCCGAAACATTGACCGGGACGCGGACGGGACTATGAAGCCTGCTTTGGCATAGCATTTGTTTGCAGGCTCGTTGTTTGCAGGCTCGTTGCTGTCCAAGACGGTTACCTTCACCTTCATGAAGGATGATCCGGGCTTGCGTGCGTGCTCCTCCGCAACCTGAATCAAGAGACCACCAAATCCCTGGCCTTGGTGGGGCCGGTCTACTTTGCAGTGCCCGATCTTGCTCGCATTGTGCTCGAATGATGCATGGATGTAGCCAGTCGGTGTTCGAGTTTCTCGAGAGACAGCTGCTAAGGTGAAGCCAGAAGGGCGTGCTGGAGCGGCCAACTCGTCCATGCGGTTCATATATCCCTGTGCTGTCTTATTGTCCTCGAATGGCACGTTGACCACGCCAGCAGCTTGCTCTGGTTCCGAGCCGTTGTACCATTGATGATTTCGATGAAGGGGCGCATGATCAGCGCCGAATTCCCGTTCCCAGAGCCTCAGACGCTTTGAACAGCAAGTCACTGACTCGCGAAAATGGACGCTGTTTAGCTTAAAGGAGGTTACACGTCCATACATCATGCTATATACATATACACATATATACATATATACATATATATATATATATGTATACATATACATATATAGCTCTGTATGCGTGTGTGTATATGTATGCATACCTGCCCACCCATCCACTTACCCATCTACCTACCTACCTGCATCAATACCGAGAGAGAGAGAGAGAGAGAGGATTGTTTAGTTACTACCTCAACGGCTGAGATGCTCTTCGTTTTCCACGTGGACGTTCTCATCTGCACTTGCAATCACAGGCTCGCTCTCCTCCTCTCCCAGCATGGAAAAGCGGATCCTTGTTGGGGTGCCTGGACATGCACTTTTCGGTGTTAGTGAAGTTCTCTGTCGCTTCCGGTCCGGAACCTATTGGCTGAGGCTTCTAAGCATCGATCTTGGGATTTCTCCGCTAGCGGATCTCAGATCCAATGAAGCCCCGCGCTCAATGAGAAAGTTCACGCCCTCCCAATGCTTGCAAGTGATCGCGAAGGATAACGCGCTCTTCCGGAGGTGGTCTCTAAAACTCATCTCAAAGCTGAAGTTTAAGAAGAACATGATCACCGCGAAGTTTCCGCATGCAGCAGCCCAGTAAGAACCAACCTGCTCGAGGTCAACCCCGAGTCGAATTAAGCTGTGGCGAAAGCCGACATGAGAATGTCATGCCGGCTTTCGCCACAGCTCCGTTGGCCCCAGCCAGCTGCCCATCTCTCACAGCTTCAAGAACATCGTCGCGATTAAGGTGGTCGTCGCCATCCGCCACGGTGACAACGTTTTGGTTCATCTGTGTGACATGCCTTGAGCCCGAAACATCTTGCAAGGGAGGGTAGGTGATCATGAGTGTATCAACTATGACGTTGCCAAACCGTATGACTGCCACTACCGTCCTCATCATCAGCATCATCACCATCAGCAGCACTTTCACCATGATCGTAATCATCACTACGAGTACCAACACTGTAACCGCCAGCGCATTTACAAACAGCAACGTCAACATTGCCGTCTCCACTCGACATCACCAGCTCCAAACCACCACCAACACCGGCATCAGCACCAGGACCAGCACCACCACCACCGCCACCGTCAGCAGCATTAGTTCGGCAAAGGTCTGGCAGCAGCAGAAACATGATGAAACAGTGTCGGCTTCACTGACCACGACCGTCACCAGCAGAAGCAGCAGGCGGGAGAAGCAGCAGGCGGGAGAAGCATCCCCCTCCTAGCAGACCCAACTCCTGGCCAAGTCCGGCACCCACCGATGAAGCTGTAGAGCGCCTTCAGCCCATAGAAGTCCGCCTCGTCACCGAACTTTGGGTTTCAGGCCTTTCGAGACTCATGGACCTGACTTCCCGAAAACTCATGCTCAAGGCAACGTGCGAAGACAAGCCTCGAACGCCGGATTGCACCTGCTCCAACTGCACAGTCGAACCCCTGGAACCGAACCCCTGCGAGAAATTTCGAACCACAAGAACCTTAGTCTAGTCCCTCTTAAAATCGTTGACCCATATTCAAACGTGTTTCTTATCTTGAATCATAGGATCCTCGGCAAACCGGCGCCACATGGCGCCACCAAAGTTAGAATACGGTGTCCGGTGCATCATAGCACAATGGTAAAAGGACGTTGCGGGGATGTTGATGCAAAAGACTCCGACCTCTACATTATTCATGAAATCTACAATGACGCTTCAAACCTCAGAAGGAAGAACAACATCGCAAGAAAACCGTCTGAGACACGACACAAACCGAACTTCACTCAACGCTGCCGAAGGCGTGGCCTCGCGGAGGAGCTCCAGGCGATCCACGCGGGAAAGGCCTCCAGGCCAATGCTTCTTTCGTGGAGGGAGCACTTCGGGCTGCAGGTCGAGGGTGTTTCCTGCGTTTCAAGCTTTAGGAGCAACAAAAGCGTAACAAAATGCAGCTGAATTGCACAAGCTCAAAGATCGCTTAAAATGCTGAAACATCATAATCAAGACACCACCAGCTTTATATCCAACACTTTCTACACGCTCTGCTCCGATGCACAGGTCAACAGGGGTCGCTCCCGGAATGCTTGTTTGATCTTCTTGGCGTAGCATGGAGTGCCGACGTTACAGTCCTTCGGCAGGGTGACACGTTCAAACGTTACTTCAATTCGTGCATTTCTGCATTTCCAACCAATTCATCTTCTGGTGACCGCATGGGCCGGCTCCACACGAACAGGGCGGAAACAGTGAACGTCGTGAGGAGTACACTTTGAAGCCGGCTCTGGCATAGCACTTCTTGGCAGGATCATTGCTTTCCAGGACGCACAACTTCACGTTGGAGAAGGAAGATCCAAGCTTGCGGGCACGCTCCTCCGCGGCCTGAAGCAAAAGGCCACCGAGACCCCGTCCTTGATGCGTTCGATCTACTTTGCATTGCTTGATGTTCAACGTCTGGCTGTCGAAGGTCGCATGCACGTAACCAGCCAGTGTTCGCGTTTCACGCGAAACGGCAGGTAGGGTGAAGCCGGAAGCGCACGCTCCAGTTGCGAGCCTCTCAATGCATTTCAAGTATTTGTCGTCATCGTCCGAAGACACGCTGACCAGCTTTGCCGCTTGCTTTGGCTCCAAATCGTTGTACCATTTGTGATTTTGATGCAGGTGAGCATGGTCACCGCAGAATTCACGCTCCATGCGCCTGATACGTTTGGAGCAGTCGGTCACCGACTCGCATACATAAAACCTTCGTTGTCCGGATGATCGGTCCCGAAAGATATGACTTTTCTAGATAGGAAAGGCATTTACACATACACACATATGCGCGCACACACACACACACACTTGCAGACCAGTCATCCTTACCTAGATGGATGCTGTTTGTGCTAGGTTATTACATGGCTTTCTCTTCAGTTGTTCTCAATTGTTTCCAATGCCACAGGGGGCCCACTGGCTCATCCGAGAGCAGGTACGTCTGGCTGATCAGGCCAGATATCACCATGCACTGACAATGTCTTCGTTGGGCAGTGACTGTAAGGCATGCACTGCCCCCTGCTTGTAAAAGCTTAGACCTAGATCCTTTGGTACAGGAGTGCCACACACACACACACACACGATCGGGAAGATCCAGTAATTTATCTTATGCGAAGCCCTTCGAACTCAGTGCAGTATCCCCACACACTTGCATTGTAGACAAAAAGCTTCAGCTGCGGGTGAAACGATTCAGGACTGCATATCTTCCTCCGTAATGGCAGTGAAAATTGCAGAAGGCTCTCGAAAGGCAAGCTGTGTGATCACTACATTAACCGGCTCATTTAATGTCAGACTTGTCAATGGCGCAAAGAACCGGATATGACGGTTGCCCTGGACCAACTGAAAAGTACAGTGTGGTCGCCAAACTCCAGTAAGCTCGTGTGCATGGGCGCAAATAAAGCGCTTGAGTAGGCTCTGTCACCTTTTCCTTTTCCTTTCTCACCTTTTCCTTTTCCTTTTTCACCATGCATTCTATCCAGTTCCATCGATATCGGTCCTTGGTACTCCTTGCTCGAGCCGCTTGCATTGTGTGGTTGCACACTCAAGGATCCTAAGATGTTTTCTGCATACCACGTCTGGTTACTCCTTTCGAACCGCAGTAACTTTGTTCTCAGATCCAAATATGTCGTGCGGTCGTTGATGTCAACCATGATATGTTGTCGCAGATTCTGCGGCTCAAAGGTACCGATTTTCAAATTGTCGTCGTACCGACTATTGGATAGCCGTTCATATTCGGTAACTAATTTTTCATATGTCAAGACATAATCCATCAATGATGCTCCTTTACTCATTGCTGGAAAACCAACGAGCACTTGTGCCATTGCTACGCTGCGTGATCTCGATGATGGCTCTAGCTCTGCTGTGAGTTTTCAGCATACTTCGAAGCCATTCATATTGTCAACGTTTCTCAACACTTTCAGCGGTCGATTTCTCAGGTAACTGCTTAGCACTGACTAGAGCTTCATTCCTCGCAGTCTTCGATCTTCTCGTCCTTCAAAGAAATCACCAACTAAAGTAGGGCTATCTATAGCAGTGCTCATATCTTCAGCCATCTTCAGGTCGTTCAAGTATTCCCAGTACATGACGGCTAAGAAGTTGCGAAAGGAACAGCTCCAGTCGCTCCATTGACTGACCTCCTCCTCTATTGTCGCCGGGGAAAATGCTTCAGGAGGCTTCAAGATTTTCCTGCCGGTGTCAAACGGCACACCATTTCCTTGAGGTGCTGGCCTGGTCCTTCAACTTCTTGAGCTGGCCTTGCATTCACCCGTTCAAGTGCTTGTGTCAGCTGCTCTTGCTGCTGAGCTGTCTGTGCAGCAACTCTCGCCATAGCTTCTGTCGCTTGGCCCAAATTCGTCATCAGCTCAGCGAATTGTCTCTGCTGCGCATTCTGTTGCGCCATTGCTTAACAGCTTTGGCAAGTTCTTTCCTTTCCGGCTCAAGGCTCCTTTCCTTTGGATACTTTCACTCTTTGTTCAGCAAGATGCTCTCGACGAATCTTATCTTCTTGCTTTCACTTTCCAACCTTCGCTGGTCACCGTTCTACCTTAGCTGCTTGCCCCTTCGGGCCTTCCCTGGATCAGCTTCTCCAGCTACTGGCCTTTGCCAGCAGCTCCGCTACCATGAAAGTTTTAAACCAAACTTTAAGGTTCCCTTGAATCACCGGATCGCTCTTTGACTTTTCACCGGACGGCGCGTGGCTGTCTAGGGTGTTCTCAAGTCCACCTTGAGCCTACATATAGCGGAGTGAAACATTCTACAACATGTCCAGAATAGGGACACATAGGAAACGAAATGTTTGTTAGCTTCGCTGCTTTCCTGGGACGCCCACGCCAAATGCGTAGTTTTGTATCTTGTTCTTCAAGATTGACAGAGAGAGAGAGAGAGAAAGATGCTGTCAATGTCAGACTTCTGCAACATGCAATATTCTTGACGGCCCAACGAACAGCATTGAGTATACGAAATACTGGAATGGAAGTAAAGAAGCCCATCAAATCTTGATTGTAAACAACCGCATGTGCATCATCAGGAAGCTGCTGAAGAAAACTGGTAAGCTGCTGCTGTAGAATGGAAGGCAGAGTGTTAAGTCCAAAAGAGCGAGGGCATGTAGCACGCACGATGACTTCCAAAGCAATGGCGGTGGCTCGAAACAGATTCGCATACCGGAAATGGATGTATGAAATAATGGGCCTGGCGCCTTTGAAGTCTTTCTGTTGTTTGAGCAACAAGTATGCAATAGGAAGGCTTGAAGTGCGAAGGTTGATTACGGTGCAAAAATGGTCTGGCACACGTTGCTTGTAAGGGCTGCATGGGTAGTTGCTGATACACCTGTGTGTCACCGAAGGTGGCCTTGTAGGTTTGCCAAACGAATTGCTGGCAAAAGGCATGTCCATGAGTAATTGCATGATCTCGCCCATGTAGATAAAGGCCCGTTGACGAGTTCTTGATGAAGACGGCATCTTTGTACTTTTCAAGGACTTTAATCGAGTAAAGGCAGCGTCTTTGTGCAGTACCCATTCCTGCTCTACAAAGGTGCCCCAATCCTCGACTGAAACTGTAAAGACATTGTGATGGGTCAGCCAACGTTGTACAATGGGCCAAGTAGAATTCAAATAATGACACAGATTCGGGAACAGCTGCGAGTCCATGGAATACTGCAAAAGACGCCTTAGTCGTTTGGGGAAACTAAACTGTGACAACGGTGAAGCAATGTGTCCATCAACGAGGTGAACATCAGGATGTTGTAGTCGTGGCGCAGCACAACTGCATGGATGAGGTGAATCCCAATTCCACTGTTCATCAAGAGCAATGTCGTTATAAACAGCATCACGCAAAGATCGATGCTTACCAGCGACACACTTCTTGTGAGGAAGGTGAACGGGATCATGTACTCCTTGGACTGAATGATAATGGCACTAATCTAGCAATCAACGGCAACTTGAAAGGAGTCATGAGCAAGCAAAGGCAGCACCAAGGGCTTAGGACCACGAGGAACAGCACATTGACGAAAATGAAGAATACGTCGAAGAACAGAGCGAACAGCTGTCTGAGGTGGAACATCCAAGATGTTACACAATCGATATAGCGCATAAAGTTGATGGTGATGAAATTCTGCGCTGCGAAGTCGCTTCTCGGTTTGAAAAGCTTTCATGCCACCATTGGCAATGTTCATCAGCAATAACCAGTTGTCGCAAGGTTCAAGCAAGGTGTTTTCATAGAGTCGAAGTAATCCCCGAGTACGAGGTTCGCGACGAACTTTAAGCCAGAGTCGCTGTCCAGGGTTAGCACAACTTGATTTCACTGTGAAGGGCTGAGCAAATCGAGCGGTAGAAGTAGAGTTGAGTCGAACAATCCAAGGGGCATTGAGCTGAGGCTTCCACGAATGGATAAAGGAATACTCGGCAGCTCTGGCTTCATGTAGGGTCTCAAAGGCCTGAACTGGTATAGTAACAGCTTCAGAAAGATCCCCATGAGTATGAAAGACACGCAACATCAACTCAGCACTGCAAAAGTCTCCCCGCTGTAGTAAGCGAAACTTGCGAAGTCGTGCATCCTGCCGAGAATGAACAGAAACTGAAGTGGACCCAACATAGAACTTGCGACGCTGTAGAAGAGCACCATAGGCCTGATTCCATCCACGCTTTTCTACTAACAGCATCAGGAGAGTGTAAACGGTGTTGTTCTGTTCGAAAGGTGTTGAGAACTCTGATAAGCTGAGTCCTTGCAAACGGAGAAGTCTGCATTTCCAGGTACGAATATGCAACGCACGACAACTGCTTCGAAAGATAGCCTGTACCATGAGGAAAGCTGCAGTACTCTGGCAGGA